GGCGTTTTCTGAGCTGGCTTTGCCTGTTTTCTGAGAGAACGTGAGCATTTTGTTAAAAACATCTTTCTTGCGTCCTTGACAGCTCCTGCCCGAGCGGTAAATATTTTTAACGCTAAAAGACGTGGATCGGTCCCATTAGGCACGGCGGGGGGGCCGTGGCTGATCCGCCTCATTAGCTGCCGCCTGGGAGACCACAGAGTGGTCCAGACGCTCCTGGCGCTTAATTAACTGGGAGGACAGGATAGCGAGCCCCTCGTGAGATGCGCGGTGGCGGTCTGTCCGTCCGGGAGACGGGGCACCTCTGCGTGGGGGATGGCTTTGCGTTGGGGCTGGCTCTTTGCTCCTAGCTGCCCTGCGATGCTGCTGATGCTCCTTGTTTCGTTTTTTTTGGTTTTTTTCACAGCATGGGCTTCCTACATGACCAACTCCCCAACCCTGATCGTGATGATCGGTCTCCCCGCGCGTGGCAAGACCTACGTGTCCAAGAAGCTCACCCGCTACCTCAACTGGATCGGGGTGCCCACCAAAGGTGTGTGCGGGGGCCGGCCCCGTGCGGGGACGGCTCTGCCCTTCACCGAAAGCGCTGTGAGATCTCTGCGAAATGCCGTCAGTCTCACGCGCTCGTCTCTTGTGTGTCAAGTGTTTAATTTAGGGGTGTATCGCCGGGAAGCGGTGAAGTCTTACAAGTCCTATGACTTCTTCAGGCATGATAACAAAGAAGCCATGGAAATCCGCAAGTAAGTTAGCGTAACGGGACCCAGCCGATCCGCGGTGGTCTGGTTAGTCTCAGGTCTTGGCAGCCTCTGCATCTGAGAAGCACAAAATAACATTTAATGCCTGGGAAACCAGGGGAAGAGGGAGGCAGCGCAGCCGGTGCGGGGTGAGGGGCTGTGCGTGGGAGCTTTGTCATTGACTTTGGGCTGGCGCAAAGAACAGAGTCTGTGAACGCCCGGCGATGAATGAAATACGAAGCAAGTTGTAGATACAGATGCCTTCTGACCTCTGCAGAGGCTCTTGGTAAGACGGAGGGGTAGGTGCCCCATGGGCAGAGCGAGAAGGTGTTTAAATCTCTCCCCAGTGGCTCAGACGCCTTGCCGGCTGAATGCTTTCCGTCAGCTCTGACAACGCCCGTTTCTCTCCTGCAGACGATGTGCCTTAGTGGCTCTAGAAGACGTGAAGGCTTATCTCCTGGAGGAGTGCGGGCAAATAGCTGTAAGACTTTTCTGGACTAAACATGGTTTTACATCTGGGTAGTTCAAGGCTGCCCAGGGCATTTGGGGACCTGATTGGAATCCCAAATGATTTGGGGCTGGTTTAAAAGTCTTAGCTAACCTTGCTTATTGCTACTTATTCGTTTTCTGGTAGGTGTTTGATGCAACCAACACAACTCGAGAAAGACGGGACCTGATCTTAAATTTTGCTAAAGAAAATGCTTTCAAGGTAGCGCTCCTGTATTTAATTTGTAATTGGAGTTGTTGCACCGAGGGGCATTACTGCTCCCTTGGGCAGGAGCTCTGGAGTTTTGATTCACGGTAGAGATCTTGCCTCTCTGAAACATGCTTCCTTGCCTTCTTCGTAGGTGTTTTTTGTGGAGTCCGTCTGTGACGATCCAGAAGTCATTGCTGCCAACATCCTGGTGCGTGCCACGTTTTCCGGGCTCGGCTGCCAGTGCTTACCGTGGGAGCTGGGGTGCTCGGTGCACGGTCACCTGCTGCAATAGCTTATGGCAGCATCTGCAAGTGCCTTGCTCTTACGTTTCTCCTTGGAAAAAAGCAGCTAAGGTTTGCAGGTTTATAAAAGCTGGAGATGCAGTTAGTTATGTGAGAAGGTGGAAATCAAATGAAGCTGAGAAACGTTTGACCTTGAAGCGTGTGCTCTTGTCAAGGGAAGGCAGGCAGCGAGCGGCTCGCAGGGACAGCTAAAAGCGGGCCAGCTGTGTCTGTCGCGGGGCCAAGCGCTACAGCGCCTTCAGAGCTGCCCTTTGTTTCCTCTCCAGGAGCAGGTTTTTCCACAGGGCAGCATTAAACAATGCTCATTTGTTTCAAAAGGGAAGAATAATGTTATTCAGCATTGCTGTTGCTCCCTGTCGAGTTTGCTTAACTCTCATAAAGCATCGCTGTCTGTTGATCAGGAGGTGAAAGTTTCCAGCCCCGACTACCCAGAGAGAAACAGGGAGAATGTGATGGATGATTTCCTGAAGAGGATTGAGTGCTACAAGGTCACTTACCAGCCTCTTGATCCCGATGCGTATGACAAGTAAGCAAAGCCCTGGGGTGCATTTTGTCCTTGCAGACATGAGCTGCTTTGCTTTGTCACTGCTGTTCTCTGGCTCAGGATGCTGCAACGCATCTGCTGCAGCCTCTGCTCCCCCAAAGCACAATTGCTCATATGAAGGTGATATCCTCGGGTCCCAAGTGATTTGAAAGGATTTTTCTCTAGTGTACCACAGTGTAATGCCGCTCCGTGTTTACGCATGGCAGTTCAGTGTCTCTTCTGTCTGCTGGAGCGACCCCGTGGTAGTGCTGATGCCTTTACTAGAGGATAACTAGCTAGATTACACCCGCAGATGCACGTGCTTCATTTTTAAAACCAGTCGTGTGGGTGTTCTTATTTTATGTTGACTCCAGAGATCTTTCCTTCATTAAAGTGATCAATGTGGGACAGCGGTTCCTAGTAAACAGAGTCCAAGATTACATCCAGAGTAAAATCGTCTATTACCTAATGAACATTCATGTCCAGCCGCGTACCATCTACCTTTGCCGACATGGTGAGAGTGAATATAATCTTGTTGGCAAGATTGGTGGGGATTCTGGTCTGTCACCACGCGGGAAGCAGGTATGTGTTTGGCAGCACCTGGGTTGCTGTAATTATAAAGTGTTGTGTGACCAGGATCAGAGCCGGGCTCTGCATCCGACTCCTGCAAGGCGCAGCCCCGCAGCTGGATCTTGCTGCGACAGCCACAGCCCTTGAAATGATGCTTTTAATGGTGGCGGCAGCTCCTGCTCCCTCCTAATCTCCCCTGGCTTTTTTTCCAGTTTGCTCAGGCGCTGAAGAAGTTCATCGAAGAGCAGGAGATTGTTGATCTGAAGGTGTGGACGAGCCAGCTGAAAAGGACGATCCAGACGGCCGAGTCCCTGGGGGTCACGTACGAGCAGTGGAAGATTCTCAATGAGATTGATGCCGTGAGTGAAATGCTGATTGAAGCCTTTAGCTTTTCTAGATGGAAAATAATGCTTAAAAATAAATTCATCACGATAAACTTGACTATTTCCTGTTCATTTATAACCATGTCCACGTATAATGTACTCCAGCCATCACCGTGAGGTTTAGGATGGTTTGGTACAGGGCTGACAATGCCAGGAGCTGGTAGACCTTGCTGTGAACGTATCCAGCTGCTGTCGAGAAAGAAAATAACGCTGAACATCCCAGGCGTTTGTCCCCCCGGCTGTAACACCATCCTGGGTGGACAAAGGTTACTGCTCCTGCTCTGATTCTTTCAGGCAAAAGAAATTGCAGGGTTGTTGCTGTGGAAATGAACGCTCATTTTCATCCCTGGCAAACAAGGGGTTTGAAATAAAACCAAAAGCCCATCCTTTGCAAAACACCCTGGATGTGCAGTGCACCAATGCTGGTGTTTGGCTCTGTCAGTTATGATACCTAAAATTTTTGCCACACGAAGAGATTACTGATCTCAACCACTTGCTGGTTTTACATTGTTGTACCTCTGTTGAAAGGAAGTCTGGTGTAACAAGTTCTTCTTTCTGCAGGGGGTATGTGAAGAAATGACCTACGCAGAAATCGAAGCCAAGTATCCAGATGAGTTTGCCTTGAGGGATCAAGAGAAATATCTTTATCGCTATCCTGGAGGCGAGGTGAAGACCCTTAAGAAATAACAATAAGATATAGTACACATAAAACAAATACATATGTGTAGAATTTTTTGTAAGACTTTACTTAATTTTAACTTTTTCTGCCAATATTTGTATAAGAAACTGAAAACATTAGGATCCCCAATTCTGAAAACGTTAGGATCCCCAGTTCTCTTTTAGAGGAAAGGTTTATTGATTTCCTTTATTGTGCTGTGCAAATGATGCCTTTCAGTCATATTAATTGGGACACTCGCCGAGTCCCTTGGTGCTCCCCTCGGACACAGAGGGGTTTCTGCCTCGTGTTCGTACGGCCAAGGCCTGAATTGTCACTATGAAAAAACATCTTGGAAAGAAAATGACTGTGGGTGTGGTATGGAGTAATTTCTGGTTTTACTTCACAACCTTGTTGAAACATATAATTTACTATTTTATTTGTTTTTCTTACTGCACTCGTTAAGAGTTACCAGTAATCTGAATCCTCCTGTAATCTGAGGGTTGCCGACATTAAATTTCACCTTCTGCTGTTTGTTTTTTTTTTCCTGTATTTACTGGATCATCCATAACTTCTGCATTTTGATATTTTAACTGATATTTTCCTGAGTGCGAAGCTGTGTTAATTGCTACTTCTGCTTTAGGCCTCTGTTTACAAAACCCCTTGAAAAATTCCTGTTTTGTTTTTCAGTCCTACCAGGACTTGGTCCAGCGCCTGGAGCCAGTAATTATGGAGCTAGAACGGCAAGGCAACGTCCTCGTTATCTCCCACCAGGCGGTTATGAGGTGCCTGTTGGCTTATTTTCTTGACAAGAGTGCAGGTACAAAAATAAATGTATGATGTTAGGGGCTGGCTTCTCTTGCTGCTTCCTTTACAGAGCTTTTGGGAGGGTGGCTTGTAATTACTGTTTTGATTTTTCACAAGGGAAGAGCTGCTTAAAAAAGAAAAAAAGAAAACATTTCTGAAACACTTTAACCATTGCATTTCAGCGGTGCACGGAGCTTAGCAAGAGGCTCTCGTTGAGAGAAATGCAGATACGTGCGCTGTTGGTTTTCTGCTCAGCCATTGTTTCTGGAGCTGTTTCCACTAGTAGCATTTGTGTGATCTCTAGGGGATTATTTTTTAATGTAAATAACAAGTTTTCTGATGCATCAGTAGCCTGGGAAAGGTTGGCGGTAGTGCTACATCTCAGCAAAATGCTGATCCCTTGCATGGCATGCTGGCCTGGAAGCGAGTTCCAGCCTGCTGCAAGCTCCTTTAGGAAACTCCAGCGAGTGGTACAGGAGTTCGATAAAACTTCTAAGGAAGTTGTTAAACTTTATTAAAAGTTTTAAATAAAACTCCCATGGGTCCATGGTGGCTGTTGCTGCAGCACTTTCACACCAATTTGCTGCTGGGGAGGTTTCCTCTGGCTGGCCCCGTGCGTTGGAAATGGTGGGGATGGTCGCGTCCCACTGCTCCTGGGCCGGGGAGGGCGGTCGCGGGGTCTGGGGGGGCTGCGGCACCGCCTGCAAGGGCCCCAGCTGCTTGTGCGGTTGGCGCCCAATATTTGCGATGGGAAAGGTCCCACCTGAAGCCTCGGGGGGGCTGGCTGGCACGGGCAGCCCCAGCACAGCCGTAACGTGCCCCGTAACGCCTGCCTCTCTCCTAGACGAGCTGCCCTACCTGCGCTGTCCCCTCCACACCATTCTTAAGCTCACGCCTGTGGCATATGGTAAATATGGTCTTTTTTTTCCTGGTTTGTGTTTGTGTAAATCTGATGCACAAGTTCATGTCCATGTGCGGCCGCAACCGGGCTTGCTGTAAATGCTTCTGGTAATATTTTTGACATATAAAAAGGTTCTGGAGAGCGGGAGGGTTTTGGGGGAACAGCGGGAGGGGAGATGTGGAGAAGAGGAGGCTGAGGGGAGCCCTCATCGCTCCCCGACAACGGCCTGAAAGGAGGCTGGAGCCGGTGGGGTCGGTCTCTTCTCCCCAGTAACAAGTGATGGGACAAGAGGGAACGGCCTCAAGCTGCGCCAGGGCAGGTTTGGGTTGGGTATTAGGAAAAATTTCTTCATCGAAAGGGCTGTCAGGCCCTGGCCCAGGCTGCCCAGGGCAGGGGCTGAGTCCCCATCCCTGGAGGGATTTAAAAGCCGGGTAGATGTGGCACTTAGGGACATGGGTTAGGGGTGGCTTTGGCAGTGCTGGGTTAACGGTTGGACTCGATGATCTTAAAGGTCTTTTCCAACCCAAACGATTCTGTGATTCTATGGGTGCAGGGGTGTTCTCCCGTGGCCTCTCTTTTAAACACGTGATAATTGTCTGTGGGTTTCCCCTGGTGATGGAGAAGGCTCTTTGTGCCTCCAAACTGGGATTTGGCTCTGGGGTGCAGTGTGTTAAAAATGACTTTTCTCTATAGACCTGTATTCCATGTAACACAGGGCTGCACTTTTGCAGTGAAGGTCAAAGCCAGAAAGTAGTTAAAGTGTAAAATGCTGTTAATAGGGTGAACTGTTTATTTATGAGCTGTTTTATTTTTTAAAAAATAAAAAACCCCAAATTTATTCCTGCTCACTTTCCATGCTGTTTTCAATATTTAAAAAAAAAAAAAAAGGTTATTTAGTAAATTACCCTTCCTCATGTAAACTTCTCTTTCTTTTTGGTAAAGGTTGTAAAGTGGAGACTATTACCCTGAACGTGGAAGCAGTGAACACCCACCGCGACAAACCCTCCCTGAACTCAGTAAGTCTTGCTGCCTAGCTCTGGCTTTTTCCCTTTTCAAAAAGAAGTACCTAAACCGAAACACTCTTAAATACCTGCTAGAAATGGCCGATTGCTTTCAGTGACCAGAAAGACTTGCTTCAGAAATAATCCCCAAAAGCAGAATTAATTGTAGGTTGAATTAGTGTGCTTCCCAGGCCCGGGGAGGATATTTTTCAGAGCTATTCTAGGAAGCAGAATGGGCAAATTTAGGACATAGATTTAAAATTCCAGGTCTTGTTCTCAGTTTTCAATTAAGTATTTGTTGTTGATGCTCGTTTGCATTAATTGCGATAATTTTGAAAAGACTTGCCAAAACGTTTACAGTGAATTTTTCTCATTATCTTGATGAGCTTTCTCTTTCTGAAGCTGCAGACAGGGCAAGGCAGGGCGCTGGGGCGGGTTCTGGGTGGCCCTCGCGGGGCCTGGCTGCCGTGTGCTGGTGGCTGGCAGGAGTGGAGGCTTTTCCCTTGCCTCTGCAGATTTCATGTGCGTTTTAAAGTATTTGGTGCAAGGCAAATACCGTGGCATTCCTAAACTTTGTATATATCAGAGGGGAAGGAGAGGAGTCCAATTTACCTCCCTTGCGCTGGGCATCTTCGTACGGGAGCAATGGAAACGGTTCAGACTTTGACTAGCTTTATTTATGAAATCCTGTCTCTCCCATGACTTGGATAACTGGCCATCTGCCTTTTTCAGCAGAGCACATAACTGTGTGCCAAATCTGTGGAAGTTGCTGCTACTTCGGGTGCTAGCTTTTGCAAACACTGTTTTGCAGAGGGACTGATCTGTCGGGGAACGCCGTGTAGCGATTGCCTGCAATTAACTCCCCCAATTTAAAAACCAACTCTCCACTTTCCTAGCTCATGGCAAATCTAAGTGCATTGTGTTTTAAGTTCTTTTGGTACATTGAGGCTTTTAGCTGCCTCTTGTCATTGGATTTTATAGAGAGCTATTGGCTGATTGCCTAGGATATGGTTATTTTTGCGTCCCAACATAAAGGAGTCCCCATGCTGAGGGACCATAAATATGGGGTGGAGAAACTGGGAACCTGCATCTGTGGCAGGAGGGTTTGTGGAGCTAAATCTGGCTGACTGTAAAATGCTAAACTGAGGATATTCAGCAAGATTTTTGTGGTTGGTCCCATTCTGGTGGTTTCCAGTCGGGCATTTATTGCTTTGCGACTTCTGTGCGATGCCTGCGTTGAAATCGTTGCTGCCCACTCAGAGAAGCTGGAGGCTGTTTCTGTTGTTCTTTGCTTTACTTGGGCAACACGGCTGCTTTGGAGGAGAAACACAAAGAAGGGAAAGTTTTCTATTTGATTATTATTTTTCCGCCCCCCAAATTGATTGCGGGGAGGAAAAAAAAAAAATTAAAAAAAAAAAAAACAAACGAACACAAACAAGCAAACAAAGCCACCTAAGCAAAAAAATCGCAAAGGGAAGTAAAACTGCTAAAAAAGCAGATTTTTTCGTGGACTCTGAGCCAGATTAACCAAGAGAGGGGGTCATTTCCTACCACTGGTGCTCAGCCAGGGAAGGCACGGAGCGGTCGTGCCGGCACGGACTGATGTGGGGTTCACCGAGCTGCAGCCCCGGCTGCCGGGAGCTTGGGGGTGCCTGCGGGTGGGGATGCCGGTGATGTGCGCTGGTGTGCGATGTGGTTTTAAACTGTGGTTCCCCTTTTCGTTCCTTGCGATACCCTCCGTCTGGGATCAGAACAACCTTCCCACCAGCCAAACCCCTGTAAGGATGAGAAGAAACAGCTTTACGCCGCGGGCCAGCGCGGACACAGTAAAGCGCCCACGACATTACAGCGTTGGGAGCAAACCTCTCGACCTGCTGGGGCCTTTCCCATCCCTGGAAGCTCGAGATGGGGCCGACCGACCGCAGCTGCAAGTCGGTGTCCAGGTGGTACCTTCCCTACTTTCACTCCCCACCCCCACCATCGCCCATGGTTGTCAGTGGTCCTCTCTGAAATACAGACGCTTCCCAGGGTCTTAATCATCATCTCTGTTCCCACAGGAAAATCATTCTGGATTAGACTCTTAAAAAAATAAAAAGAAGGGGAAAAAAAAAAACACCCCACAAAAAACCTCCCCAGTAACCAAAATTTGTCCCATTAAACTAAATTGTGGTGCCAGAGGCTTTCAAAAATCAGGCTCCATGCAGGCAAGTTTCCATCAGTGCAACAGGATTTTGGTAGGGTGGTTAATTCTGGGTAACATCTTGCTTTCCAGCAAAAAACTGATTGGAAAGAGTTACAAATACCCTCTTTGTCCGAATTTGATGCTGCAGCCAAGTGTTGCTCTAGCTCCAGAGCGACTGGGTAGGAAATCTTTGCGTCCGTGATTTTGTTGGTGCCCTTTCCCCTGCAGATCCCGACATCAGCAGCTGGTTGAACAAAGTTTGGGCTCTGTGGGTGCTCAGATTAAAACAGCTTGTGTTTTGGTGCTTGGTGTTTCTTTTAGCTTAGAAGCACGTAGGTCCTCATCAGTGTTGGATGCAAAGCCCCGTTTGTTTCTTTGCTCATTTAAAATTGTTTCTCTGCTAAATTAGGAGTTTTTCTGTGCCTGGGAGACTGCAGGCAGAGCGGGCTGCACGCTGCTGCCTGTCAGCGAGGCGGAGAGGAGGTGCGTGGTGGGCTTCGAGGAGGTCTTGGCTGGGCTCCTTGTGCAGAGACAGCCGTCGTTACCAAACCTGTTTAAAAATAAAATAATCTTGGATACTTTAGAGGTTAATGTTTTCCAAGCTATTCAGTGAGCCCAGCTTCTTGTTCTCCTCCTCCCTGTTAGCAGAGTAAGTGGCCAGAGAGTAAAAGAAGGGGCGATGCAGCACAGGTGAACGTCGCTGGTGTTTTCGTACTCAGTGAAGAGCACGAGGCTTAGGCATCCCCAAAATCCCAGGGCTCCAGTGGAACCGAATCAGACAGGGCTTTGCCTTGGGGTGGGTTTGGCCCACAGCAGTTCTGGATGACTCTTCATCAGCTGGGGAGGACCCTGACTGCCCGAAGTCTTGATTTGTGGGTGTCTCCAGCTGGGCAGCCCCAGGATGGGGATCCCCACCCTGACTGCTCCCTGTTTGCACCTTCATAATCGTAACGTCAAAGCACTGACAGCTCTGGGATGAAGGAGCATTTGGAAACCCGGGGTGCTGGGGCCGTGTGGGTGGTAGGGAATCGTGCTGTCCTGAGTCCTCACCCGAATGGAGCCCTTGAGATGAGCAGCAGTAGAGGAGGTGGCTGGGCACCGCAGCACGCGATGTCCATGCCTTGTATCAGCTCCTGCTGTGATACAAGCCTGTCCTGAGCTCCCTACCATGAAATCTTTGGGGTTGCTTCACTTCTTTCCTCGTTTGCCTTGCTGCTTTTACTATTATTTTAAAAACTCCTCTGAAATGCACTATGAGCTATCCTGTGCTGTTTCTTTTTCCTTTGCAGCCTCAAGGGGGAAATGCTTGCCTGTGAGTACCACTGACAGCAGCTTGTATGTACTCTCTTTTGGTTTAGTAAGTAGGACTTCTCTTGATTAACGTTGCATGGAAACTACTTTGGGGAAAGACAAACGCATGGAGCAGAAGGAAGTCTTTTGCTGGATAATAACCTGTCATTAAGGGGGACCTCAGTGGGGGAGGAATATGTTACTAGGCTGAGCCCACTGATCCAGGGGCTCTAGCTGGACTTACTGGCAGTCGTGCTTGTGCTGGCTGTCCGCAAAAGTGTGTTCCACCCCGAGCTTGCTCCGTCCCTGGACTGGGACGTGGGAGTGCTCTGTGCTGGTGCTGCTGGGCTGAGCCACGTAGCTTGTACTCAGCGGGTCCCACTTATGTCTCCTCTCCACCTGGGATGGGGTGCGGTGACGATACTTATCGCAGGGATTTTGCAGGAGTCGTTGGATCTGCAGCCTGGATGGGAGTGGAGCTGCTCAGCCCCAGCTCCTGGTGACTTGAGGGAGCTGGGTGGGTTTAGCACGTGCTTAGAAAGCAGCTGGGGGGGGTGGTGGGGGTAAACCTTTCTGTGTTGGTGGCACTTGTCACCAAGTCCTCACCATCATGTCCCCTTGGAGGCATCTTTGAATGAGGGCAAAGAGAGCAGGACTGTCTTTCTCCCACCCTAAGGGGAGAACATGTCCTTGTCTGTCCCCCTCTCCAGGGAGCCAGCAGCCAGCATCACCCCTGAGACCTTGGCTTCCCTCTCGGCCTCCGAGTAAGGGGCTCGGATGAGACCTTGGCTGCCGCCCCGCGCAGAAAGGCCAGAGATGCCCTCGCTTCACCGTGCTCCTGCCGGCCCCGAGGCCCATCCCTGCGCCCCTGCTCTGCCGGTGGCTGTGGCAGACCCTGCTGCAACCCCTCGCTTGGCTTATTGGGCGTTTCGCCTCATGTCGCCTCAACAACGCTGATGTTTTTTGCCTTGTAAAAGATTTTGCAATCTAGATGCTCTGTCTGGGGGCCCGGCTGTATGGCACAGTGCCTGTGCCGCATCCTCCGCGCGGTGCCGTGCTTGTCCCCGTGCGCCGGGGTGACCCCCAGCACCCGCCTGCTTCCACCCACCTTTGGGAGCACGGTGGTCTCCCCCTGCGGAGCAGCAGGGGGTGCCAGGGAGCACCCAAGGGTGGCAGTGCCTAAGGGTGGGCTCAGAGGTGGCACAAGCTGCGTCCTCGGAGGCTTTGGTCGCTGCGCGTGGGCTGCCGGGGTTGTTACTGACCTGCTCTGGCTCTCAGTGAGCTCTGCTCCCTCCTTGCCTCTGCTCTGGGGCTTTGGGCAAATCCTCTTGCTCCTGGTGCTCTGGCATCAGAGGGAGAGCTGGGTTTAGTGCCAAGCAAGTAAAGCAGTAGTTCAGTTTCCAGATGTCGAGTGTTAAGAGAGGATTGAGGTTTGGTTGGGGAGCTGGCTCCCGTTTCGCTGCGGCAGGGTGGTCCCCGCAGGTCTCGCCGCCGTAGGATGCGGCTCCTCTCTTCAGGTGAGGAAGGTGCAGCTCCCACCTCTGCCCGGGTAGCAGAGGTCCTCCAGGCCTGAGAAACTCCTGCCTGAATGTATTTAGCAATTTGGATGTGCAGCTTTTTACTTTAATTGCACTTTATCCTTGAGTGAAGCTCTTACAACAATTTTCTCAATGAAACTGCCCTATCTTTCTATATCGCCAGTATTTACGCACATTTCGTGGGATATAAAGGTATGGGATTGATCCTAAAGTTACATGTCTCTGTCTCCTATTCTCTAGTTTGTGATAGCATTTTTAATAATGCTGCAGAGTTTTCTTACTGACAAAGCAGCGTGACTCCTGCCGAAGCTGAGGAAGCGCACAAAGCATCCAGCTCGGATCTTGCTGTAGCGCATTTCCCACGTCGGGATGGCCGACTTGGGAACGGTCTGACCAGTAGCAATGCAAAAAGGGCACGTTTCTCCTAAAGTTGCCTGTCTGCATGCGTTTCAGGGGCCTTAATGCTCGAGATGAGGGGAAAAGGAGAAAGAACCTGAGTTGGGGGAGCTTGTGATATATCTGATAAATCGTTATTCTTATACTGGGTAATATTAATTTAGAATCAAATCAGAGGAAAATTATCCACAGGCTAAAAATCAAAGCCTTGCCCCTTTGGATTTGCCTTTACTCTGAGCCGAAAGGAGCTGTGTGTTTAGAAAATGAATGTATATGCCAGCTTTGCAAAAGTACTTTTCTAATGCTGCGCTTCAAGTGTTTCTTTTTCCCCTATGTTTAAACAAATAACGCAGAATTCGTAGGAGGGTTTGCAGATAAACGAAGGGAACTTGGTCCAACTTCCTTGATTCCGGTACAAACCTTCTTCTTTCTTAGTGCTGGTGTTTTGCTGGACGCAGTAGCGTGTGAGCAGCTATTATGCGTTACCTCTGTCTGATGATAGTTACTTTAAGTGTCATTGTCAGGAAAGCTGTTTGGAATTTTTCTTTTTAATTAAAAATGGAAAACGTGTAGGGTTTGGATTTCCTGACTGTTGGATTTTAAGTGTTGATGCCTGCTGTTAATTGTCAGCAAATTGGTTCGATAGCTGTACCATTTTCTTATTGCAAAACAGTGCTGGTTAGGTAACAACGCATTGCACAGATGTGCAATCATTACACGTCCGTTTGCAGTCTCCAAAAGGGCTGCAGCTGAGCAGAGCAGGCACCAAGCACCGCGCAACTCGGAGCCCTTCCGAGCGTTTCTGTGCTCTGAGACATTGCATGAACGCAGCTGTAGGAAATCCCGGCTGTCAGATTTTGACTTTTGTGTATGTGCATTTGTAAATACGTAATTCACTTGTACTGACCTGAGTGTGCTCCTGTCATCTGTTGGACCCTCGGTGAGGCAATGGAAGGAGTTTTATCAAAACTATAAGTATTTATTGTGGTTAATATGCAAAATGTTACCGTAATGTTTCTCATGCTTGTCCTGGAAGTGTACTTTCCTATGGAGAAGATAAATAAAAGCGTGTAACCCTGAGTAACCAGCCTGCTTTGTTATCGCCTGCCGTCCTATGAGACGCTCCAGCAACGCTGAGCTCGCGTGGTCTCAGGCTGAGACTGGGAAAGCCTTCATGTGGGGCTTGGCAAGAGGCTAAAGGATGATGCAAAATGTGAAGCAGCTCAGTATTTGCTCAGGGAGCAGTAAATAAGCGAATCCTCAGATGGTTACTGTCACATACACCAACTCTGTGGAGCTGGTTGTAACCTCCTGCCGCTGGCTGCTGCAAAGCGTCTGTCTGTCTGTCCCCCAGCACTGAGCTGAGCTCTGCTGTCCCCTGCTTTACCACCTCCTGACTTACCCTTGTTATAACCTCTACCATTTATCTTTTATTTGTAGAGGATGGCCGGTTTAACGGTGTAGATGTTTGTACTCTCCTCTGGAATTCAGCTGGGATTTCCGTGGCCGGGAGGAGCCCTGCGGATGGGACTCGAGCATCCCCGGAGCAGAGTGAGCCGCGCACCGCTTTGGCCAGTACTCTCCTCTGAAATGTGTTTTTAGAGTCTGTCTGTGTCTTTTCTTTCTGTCTGTCAATGAGATTGGAGAAAATTTATTATGGCGATTTTTCAACCTGCTTTTAATACGTGTGAGCTAAAGTATCCCTGGGCTTTCTGAGGCGTTAAAATAGTGTCCCACGCCTTTCTTCCCGGTTAGATGGCACAATTAACCGCAGCGTATGCGAGGACAAAATGGTCATATCCATACTCACTGAAGCAGCTTTTCTTTGGAAGACATGTTATCAGACCAAATCCCCAAGTTTTTATTTAACTGTTACCATTTCCAGGTTCAAGTGCAGTTATTGTGTTATTTAACCATCGAAAGAGCTCCAGGTATCGTTTGACTTTGCTTTCATGACTGCTGATTTGAATCCCCCGATTGGAGCCTGTTCCTTTGCTCTGGGAAGGCTTCTGCACGTGGTGTAAGACAAGGCAGGTCAGCAAATCCTGCGGGACGGCTCCTCTGCGAGGGGCAGAAGGGAATAAAAGCTCCTGTGCTGGGAACAGCGTAGCTACCAGTGCTGTTGAATCTGAACTCAAGTCCTGCTTTAGCTTTGCACCCTGATCTAAGCCTCCTCCTCTCACTGATTTTTTTTTTTTTTTTTTTTTTTCTCCCCCCCTGGGTTTTATGGACACTTTTCTCTATTATAACAGAAAGAATCAGAGCAGCGCTTTGCTCGGTGTCTGGGAACAGTGGGGCCGCATGTGCAGGATTTGCAAGAAGCACATGATTTTTACCAGTTGTCTTTTTAATGTACCAAATTTTAGGCCCACAAGAAGTTTTTAAACTTGCCTATAAATAAGCTGTGAATGTTACTGATGTATAATGCTGCCTTTAATAGAGTTTAAGCTGCTTTAGTATTTAGTGCATAGACTGTGAAACTCCCCGCTGGCGCAGCTCGTGTGATGGCTGTGCGTTACTTAAATCCCCACTGAACCCCCAAACTTAGTTTTCTTCCACAAGTCTTGACTTGTGTTTTGCCCAACTCCATTTTAGCCCACTCCTGTTCTTGCAATGAGGGCAAAATCCTCAGGTTGGGTGAAGAAAGGAGCATTTAGGTACAAAGCAGGAGGCTGTTCTGGACCTGCTGTTTCCAGTGACTCCAGGATTTATACGAGCAACTTCTGGAACCCAAGTTGCTTATTTTAAATGTGTAAATAAATGTTGGCCATGCCTGCAGTAGGGATCTGTGCTTGAGAAACATCAGTGCCCTGGCCCTGGCTGCAGAGGAGCTCGGCAGCCCTGAAGCCTGGGGTTTACTTGGGATTTTGGGCTCAAACCCAGTTGTTTTAAACACTCCAAGAGCTTTAATTTGATAAAGCTGAGACAGAGACGTCCATGGCGAAGGCCCAGGCTCTAATCCTAAGCCTTTAGGGGTTATGCGGAGCAGAAGTGTGTGTTGATCTATAGCAATTGCGCCACAGAAGGAGGAAATTCAGTGGGTGAGAAACTGAGTTTTATTAGTTTTGTTCCTTGGGCTGTTCCCACCGGGGCGCAGGTTTGCTGCAGCCTTCTGCAAGAGCAGCACCGTCTTTTCTTTGGTTTTAAATGTTACAGTGCTTAGAAATATGCCAGAAAAAAAAAGGGGCGGGGGGGGAAATGTTGAAGGAAGAGATTGATAGCCTGTTGCGTGTTAACACTCGCTGTCACTCTCCAGTAATGCTCTGAACGCACAAACCTGCACCGCATCGGGCTGGCGGCTCCTGCCGAGAAACCTCCTGCTCTGCGGGGGAAAAGGAGTACAAATGTACTGTAGGATGTTTACGCACACTATGCTGTAATTACTTGCTAAGGAGTTAATTATATTTGTATCATTGGGTAGTTAATGGTTGTAAGGAGATAAAATATATATTTTTAACTGCTGGGATTCATGAATGTAGCTGCTAATATGTTGGCGGTCATAATTTTTTAATCACTGCTAAAAATCAGGTCTGCAGTTTTGGATCACTGACTGGGGGGTCCCTTGTTCCTCTTGAGTGGGTCCTTGCTTTGGCTGTGGTCTGCTGGGTCGTGGGATGGAGCCTCTCAGCCGTCTCTGCAGACGGCAGCATTTGTGCCTCGGTGCTTTAATCAAAGCCTGACTATAGCCTTTTCCTCCTGCATTTTAACTTTCAAAAGGTATCAATACGTGTGTCTAGAGCAGAGCAGCAGCAATTTTGTGATCATCACCGTTGCTGTGCGGGCGAATCCTACCTGACATGACAGGTCCCGGGGTCCTGCCGAGCCCCGAGCTCTCGGGGGTGGCCGGGCTGGGGCGATGCCAGCGAGCCCATGCACCTCCCAGCCCCAACCAGGCTGGTTGGTCCCTGTGCCAGGTATTTCCTTGAAATCACCTGATTTGCCTTGGCAACCTGCGTGCAAATAGCCCAGAATAAACAACGATTGCACAACGTACCTCAACTGAGGATTAGCAGTGGCTTGTGCTGTCGGTCGTACCGGAGCCACCGTCTTGGGCTGAGCAGGCAGAGGTGGTGAATTTGGAGGTGTGGAAGTGGGCTTGGTGCCTTCGTGACCGTTGCACCACGAGGTGGGGGGGGTCCTGTATTTCCCTGACTTTCTCTCCATTTCTGTTGGCAGAGGTGGTGGTGGCTGCTGTCACCTGCAGTGAGTGGTGGCAGGGCCACCCGTGGGACCTGCATCGCTGTCCCTGAGCTGCGGTCCAGGGGCTGGCTGCCCCATCAGCATTACAGGTCGTTTTAGAGAAAAATGATTGCTCAGGCAAAATCTGTTCCATCTCTGCTGCCAGCGATGGGGAAAATTGAGGGAAAAGGCTTAAAACCAGTCCGGGTAGCTTGAGTTTGTGTACCCTGGCTGTGACATTGGAGCTGCCACCTCTCTAAGTCATCCCCTTCCCGGCAGCTCGATGGTGACTGATGGGGAAGCCCAGTCCAGCTGCCACGGGGCTGAGGAGCGGCCTTGGGAGGAGAGGCATCGCCGCCAGCACTTCCAGGAGCCGCCTGCCCCATGGTTACGTCCCCAGTTCTCACCCGTGCTCCTCCGAAGGGCACTGGGTGAGGGCTGCCGTGCCACCTCCACCTCTCCCGCTGCTCCTCTGTCTCTATGATCACTGTTTGCAAACTGCATCTCTGTATTTAGTGTTTACTAAGATGGATGTTACATGTCTACTTGCAATTTTGTTACTCTACTGCTTTCTAATGTTTTTTTAGGTTTAAAAAAAATGCAGTGTATGTAAACTTGTGCTGTCTGTTGTGTACTCTCTGCACTTGAGCGTAAATATCCCATGAGCACTTATTTACAATAAAGAGATTAAAAAAAAAACCCAACTAGCTTCTTCTGTTACTTTCTGTTATTGTTTGCTATAACCATCTGTTGTGTGCTAGTTTTGTGATATAATGGTGAATTCAGGGAATCTGTGGAAAGCGTTTGGAGGAAGAGGGTCTGCAGGGGAGGGCAGGCGTCCCCGGCGCTTGGGAGTTGGGCTGGAAATGGTGAATCCTGCACTGCGGAGCTGCTGCTGTTCCCCTTCCCTCCTCAGTTTTAAGGGTGTTCTTATTGGAGCTATTGGAATTTGGATTTTCAGGTTTTCTGTAGAGCTGTTAGGGTAGGAACACTTTTTTTTTTTTTAAAGAGCATCTCTCTTTGGGGGGGGGGGGAGTCAAGAGGAGCGACTGGTGTGACTTGTAACTGTGACTTCCAGCATCTGCAGCTGGAAACCAGCTGGTCCCGAAGGGACTCACCAGCCGCAGCCTGAAGAGAAAGGGACCTTGGATGTGGTCAAGGAAAACCCTTTTTATCCTGTTTATCCTGCTGCAAGCTGTGGGTTGAGGAGGTCTTCGGGGTGTTCAGCAGCCGTCGGAGCAGGAGGTGGCTTTCGGTGTGGCTGTGCCCTGGCTGATGCTCATGGCTGCAAGCACCCTGTGCTAAATAACCTCCTGGGTGCCTGCGAGGAAGCTGCCGATTTTTTGGTACGCAAATCTGCTTGTTCTGAGTCATCTGGGAAAAAAGAAATCTAGAAAGCCTCTGTTTGCGTTTGAGAATAACTAGATTCTTGTAAATATTTAGTGGAGGTCAGTGCCTGCTCAGGAGTGACGAGGGGCCTGTTGTGGACAAGCCCCTGCTCATGGGGTGAGGATGGGCAGCCTTTTGCTGTGTTTTACAGGGTAAGAACTAAAGCTCTTATTGCATTTTGGCATGGACTCAGGTGAACTTCAGAAAGGTAATATATCCTAGTCAGTGTAGGGATGTGGTAAATTTTTCTGGCAAAAAAACCTCAGATTTGGCAGAACAAACGAATACCTGCGAGAAGCACAACCTGGGGTAAAAAGGCCATTGCCAGGTTTTGATGGTGATTGAAGCCTGGATGAAACTGTGCAGTCAAAGTGTAAAAGGAGCAAATGGCTACAACTTCTGCCAAAACTCTTGTTGCAGCCGGATTTGGGAACAGCTTTCAATGAGAGGAAGAGCAGCTGGGTTTCCCATCATGGACCTGGGTGTTCAGCTCTGAGCAATGCTCCTTGGGAGCTCATGTGCTGTGGAGCTCCAGCTGGTGTTGCTTTAATGGGATTAGGTGGAGCTGATTGAAGAAACCATATTTTGAGGTCAGATGGGATAAGGTGGTGGCTGACATGGCCCAGGGTGAAGCAGTCCTCTTGTGGAGGCCCCCATAGCGAGCCCAAGGTCCCTGGGCATCGCCTGGGGACCGGCACCGGCTGGGTGCTGTTGCTGCAGGGTGGAACAGGCAGCGTCCTGCTCAGCAAGGATCATTTCAGTAAAGAGTTGGCATCTCCACACAGAAAACAAACAATTTCAACATCTGCTTGGGTTGCATTCGGTTTTCTACTATTTCGCTTTGTGGGCTGAATAAACTACTTCCTTCTTGCTCAGAGGAGCAGTTAATGATTCATGGGTGAACTGGCACAACTCTGGTTCAAACTTTGCTGCACGGAGCCATATCTGAGCATGTAGGCGTATCGTAACTCCTCCTTCAGCGCTGCGGTGCCTGGAGCCGGGGGGACTGGACAAGGACAGTCGTCGCTTCGTCTTGCAAGAGCTGAACGCATCGGGTCTCTCCATCTCCTGCTGCCAGACCTCCAGGTAAGATGACTCGAGCTATACAGCTTCAGGTGATGTTGCTCTCGGGAACTGAATTGGAGCCTTCTTGCAGCTCTAGCAGGCACAAAGATTAGTAAATTAAATCAAATTAAACCAAGAGCTGTAACAAGGACTGAAGGAAAGCCAGAGGAATGAGACAGCTGCGAGAAGTGTTAGGTTTAGGGCAGAAAGCATCAGGACAGACTCTCGTTTCCAGGAGGAAGGTAGGCACTCGGAGCGTGCGTGCAGTTGGGAGGATTTAGGTTCATAAGTGATTATCCTGGATAACAAAGTCAGAGAGGACTCTTGCTGATCTCTAGGGGTGCGAGGTTAGTCCAAATTGCACTTAAATTCCATTTTATAAAGCGATTTGGTCTCCTGAACGTCCAGTTGATGCTATTTGCACAAAACCGTTGTATCTTTCTGGGTAGATGCTTCTCTCTCTCTCTGCATGTAATTCATTGTTAGGGGACTGTATTGACTCTAGCAGGATTTCATCTGACTGTGAATTTGCTTCCAAGAGATTTATTGCTAAAACAACATGTTTAACCCATAAGAAAAGTGTCAGGAGATTTTTTTCCGGAAGGCATAGATAAACTCACGGCCCTGCAGGTATTAATTTGGCTGGTTGGCCGGGAAGAACACGATGTTGGCAGTATAGTGGTTTTAAGTCGAACCTGACAAGCTACAAAGTATTTATGTTATGGTTTGAGTGGAGCTGTTAGTCTTTCTTTTTGCATTCTCAAAAATGTAAATAAATGAGACTAGTGGAATAAAGCCTATGGGAATTGCTTAGGATCTACAATCAGTTGTCCTGTTTACATTGTATTTTCATGTCTCTGGGTCTGGTCTCCTGGAGCCAGCCTTCCTCACCCAAATCCAGCTCCTCCACGCTGGGTCTCGGTCCCGTCGGACGGAGAGGAGCTGGCAGAGGAGCTGCTCCGCTCTCTTGCAGGGTATTGCAATAGCTCCTGCAGCTTCTGGTCCCCAGCCACGATGGTAGGAGCTGCTTAGGGATGGAGAAATGAGACCTGTCCTTATAAGCTACGATTATCCTGACTGCAAATACCTGCCCTGCTATTTTTACAGATATTTGGCCTAGAAGAAGAATGTGATAACTTCTGTGGGATCTCTGGACAGGGAGGCTGGAATAAAGAAAGATGCCAGCTTTGGAGCCGGGGAGGCAGAGGGATCGCACTGCTGTCCTTGGCTTATTCCTCACCGCTGCTCTTGTTGTGGCTGTCCAGAGTAAGTGAACGTGAGGAGGGAGCGAGTCCATTGGGATAAACTAAGATCCCTCCAAGGAAAACCTTCTCCTGGGGTCCACAACACTTGCATCCTTCCCTTTTCCTCATTGCCTTTGCATTTCAAGAACACTGTAAATTTTTGTGGTTAGAATCCATCTCCCTTTGCCTTTTTTTTTCATTTATTTGTAAAACTGCCATAAAATTATTCCAGCTGAAAAAGGTGCAATGATTTATACTAACTGGGGAGAGGAAATGGTTAATCTGGACTTTGCAACCAGCCTTTGAAACTGCTGGATGAGGTGTGAGGAGCAAACAGGACCTCGTGGGGTGCTGCTCCTCCCCTGTCCCCCCCAGCCTCAGCCACCCCCAGTCACCGGCTGCGCTTCTCCTCTTGGTTTCTAGCTTTAAGGAGTTTCAAGGCCACTGAAGTGTCCTCGCCTGGACCTTCAGAGGAAATCAGGCCTGAAATCCCACTGCTTTTCCTCCCAGCATCTTTCTGATGGAGTTTCTGTTGGTAGGTGTCTGCAATGCTCCGCCGCGTCTCCCATCTGCAGAACTCAAAGAGCAATACCATGGCATTACCACATTTTCCTATAGATCAGTGGTGGAATACATCTGTCGTCCAGGTTACACAAGAAATATTGATGCCGCAAACACCTTTGTCTGTGGAAGGAACGGTAACTGGCATGGAGTAATGGAGATGTGTATACGTGAGTATATTTTGGGTTGACTTTTGATTTTGCTGTTTATTCGCTGATGCTATCAGCTCAGTTTGTAGGAGCAGCATCCAAAGTGACTTCATGGGATGGTGGGAGATGAGTGACCTGACATGAAGCACTGGTGGTATTCCGCTGAGTACTGGCAATGATGGCAAAAGCTGAAATCTGCTTCGATGCTGGCTGTGTTTGCTGACTCAAAGGATGTTCTTCTGCTCAGGCACTTTGTAACTCTTGGTTCAAAAAAAGTATTTCAAACTTGCACTAGGAGAATCCTTTAGCTGTGAAGAAATGCTGTCGCGCTTGCCAGGGTTATTACAAAACCCCCCTTAGACTGGAGAGGCTGGCTGCAGGTCATGATGCAAGTCTTAACAGCATCATGAATCATGGAATAATTTAGGCTTGGAGGGGAAATCTGGAGGTCTCTGGTCCATCCCCTTGCTCAGTATTGGAGGAGCTTTCTGCTTTCCTGCTGCATTTTCCCAATTCTTCAAGAAACTGAAATAAGAACTAACTCCAGCCCTGTTGTCCCCTAGCAAAGCTGTGCACCTACCCCGGAGAGCCGGCCAACGGCAGTTCAGCAGTGAACTTCACCTGCAACACCGGGTAAGCCAGGAGGACTCAGGGCTCAGGTCGTCTTCTTCCCCGGTGATTTTTCTGAAGTCTTCTCCCTCTAGATTAAAGCCCATGCTGTCAGAAGCCTTACCGGTGTAGGTAACTGCAGACTGTGACTGAAATATCTTTTAAGCTTTCCTTTGAGAGCTTTAAGACTGACTGAGTTTTCTGAATCTTATACTTTGAGGCAGTTCTTCCTGAACTCAGGTTCACTCTCTTGGCCCTTTCCTAAACCATTTCCAATGTTTCAGTATCTTTTTTGAAGAAAAGGCATCAATACTGAACTCAGAGCTGTAGTGATAGCTACAGCTGGATAAGTAGACATTTTTCCTTAGAAACCATGTAATTTTTTTATTTAAAAAATGGTTTTGTCAAAGAACAGTGTGTCATTGAAAAAATTACATTGATGGCAAATTTCTGATCAGCTTTAGTTATGATAAGGAAGCCAAAACCATCCTGATGGTGATGTTATAGGTAATATATCAAAACTGAGTTTGTTGAGTAATTCCCTCTACCCTGTTTCACACAGGTACAGGCTGGTTGGAAATCCTCAAATTCAATGTGTGATTAAAAATGGGGTTGTTACATGGGACAGAGATATTCCCATCTGTGAGCGTAAGTAGAGTTCCTCATTTGATCTACTGCTTAAATGTTATTGCGGATGGATAAAGAAGCAGTCGTGTCGCCCTGCTGAGGATTTCAGCAGTTCGATGCATGGTAGAGTCTGGAAAGACATCATTTCTTTGTGTTTTTCTTCCTGCATCATCCTGCAGAAAAAAATTGTTTGCTGTCTGAGAGTAAGGCAGCTGCATGTAAGACTGGTATATCCCAAAACCGCTCGGCACCCAGCTCAGAGCTCTGCTGCCTGTGGGCTGGCGTGCAACTCCCTTGAGACCTGCCCTTAACTTCTGACCCTTCTGGCACCTCGTGTTTCAGTTTTTTTTCTTACCAGACCTTTGGTTCAAAATGAATTAAGTTCTTTCTCTCTTGTTCTTCCCTCCTTCTACCATTTCTCCGCCTTCCCTCCCCAGCAATACCATGTTCACCCCCTCCAAAAATAGCTAATGGAGAGCACAGTGAGGCTGACAAAGAGCTCTTTGAATACGGAGCATCTGTCACTTACTGGTGCCACACTGTCAGAAGGGGAGAGAGACCTTTCTTGCTGGTGGGAGATGCCTCAATCTACTGTACAACCACAGATAACATAAACGGTGTCTGGAACAAGCCGGCCCCGGAGTGCAAAGGTGAGCTGCTGCCACGCATGGGGCGAGGTGCGCGCTTGCAAGCTCAGCGGGGCACTGCAGCAGCACCAGCCTTAGCCCCTTCTCTGCTGCCTACAGGTCTGCTAAGGTCGTTTTCCTCCTTGCAGCCATCTCTCTCCTTGATGTTGCTGGAATTGCCTCTTGCAGATGAGACCCTTTGGTAGCAGCAACAGGATTTAGGGTCTCCCCTCGCAGGGACCGTGACTGCTCGTGGTCACCAAGTCAGCAGGGACATGGGAGTGGGATTTCATTAGCGTTCGCAGACCAGATGATGCATCTTGTCTGTCAGCCTGTGTAAAACATAATGCCTGCAAAGAATTCAGAAACCTGCTGTGATACCTGCTGCCTTCCCTGTGTTCTTTTTACGCTTTGCTTTAATAAAAAGCATGAAATAAAAAAATGCTGTAAAATGAAGTAAGGTGTACTAAAATATCACGTCAGCCTGATATTGTCATGTCCATTTTCAGCCTTTTTGGTGAACACACCTTACGCTACGAGAATGTTTTTAATACCCTAATCTCCCCTCTTGAGCATAACTGCTAATTTCCTAAGTGATGGCGTTTCCCTGACGCAGTGGTTAACTGTGAGCAGCCGCGCGTGGAGAATGGGAAGCTGGTGAGCGGGTACCGGCCCGATTACACCTACAGAGACACTGTCATGTTCGACTGCAACGTCCGCTACACCATGAAGGGCAGCGATACCTCCACGTGCAAAGACAACGGCCTCTGGGACCCTCCGCTGCCGCTCTGTCAGCTCAGTAAGTGCGGTGGACCCAGCGCGGCTCCGCCTGGCCCAGCAGCTTGGCTTCGGCGAAGTTCCCACCCATCTGAGAAAGCACTAGGTCCTGAAAGTGATGGCGCCAAGGTTTAACTTTGGGGATTTTTTTTTTTTTTTTTTTTGCTAATCTCTGTTAGCACTAAGGTGACTTCAGGAATTTATGACTTGGGGCCATAGAAAGTAAAGCTTTGTCCCGTTCAAGCTGATGAGCGTTTCTTGCTAGAATTCAAAGGGCCTAAATTAACCTTTGTACACTTGATATTTTTAAAGTTTGTTGGAAGAGCCTCAAATAGGATGAACTCGATTAGAAATTACATCTTGTTGTAACAGTGAAAATTACCATGCAGTCCAAAATTATTCATATGTTTTCCTTTGTCTCCTTTGCATTCACTTTTTAGCGTTACCGAACTCAGATGATTAAGTGCATCTCAGAAAGAACAATATGAGCCCAAGATTCTTCCCCAAAATCTCTCTGTTATGTTACACACCATTATGGGCCTCGCTGATTTATCACTGGCAATGTCCCTAAATTGCTATTTCATTCCTAGGCAGCTGTGACAACCCTCCAGATGTGTATAATGCTGCTAAAACAAAACTCGCTGGCAATTTGTTTCCTGTGGACACTGTCATTACCTACGAGTGCAGGGAGGGCCACCAGTTCAGCCCGGGAGAAACCACACGGCACATTAAGTGTCTGCCGGATTTTACGTGGACCGAAACTCCACAGCCTTGTGAAAGTAAGTGTATGTTCCTTTGGCTTACTTACCCTTGTGATTTGGCAAAATTATCACCGAATGAAGAAACTGTACGTGGTCTGCTGTTGTGCAGATCGCAGGGTGGGGGAGAAAGGGGGGATGCTCCAGGTGCCCAGCTCGGTCTTTGCTGTGACTCTTGAACTCCTTTGATTTGTTCCCCAGCCACGGGGTCTTTTCTGCTTTATTTACCAGCTATGCTTTCTAGTCCCTTGAACCCTTGTGGAAAAAGTCATTTCAGTGTCAAGGGCCCCTTGCTCCATCCAAGGGGAGGCTGCAGCTGCAGCGTTCCTTGCAAACACCCCATCCCCCAGGAGCACCCAGGGATAGTGTTGGCGCAGATTTAATGTTGTGATGTGTCTTTGTCTTACAAAGCATTCATCCTTCTGTTTACAATAAATCTGCTGTCATCCAGGCGGCTTTGCTGTGCTTTCACACTTGCTAATGTTTGGCATTTCTCAGGAATTCGTTGCCCAAATCCAGACGTCAAGAACGGAAAGTTATTAAATGTATGGGAAGAGAAAGACAATTATGTGTATGGAGACAGCCTGGAAATTACATGTAATGATGGCTACGCTTTCAAAGGTCATAGCAATAGCGTTGTGCTTCGGTGTACAAGTGATGGTAGATGGGATCCGGCAGTACCGGAGTGCACGCCAGGTAGGCGAGAGCGGGTGAAGCATGTTCACTTGGCAACTACTTATTTTTGACTGCAAAGGTTCGGGTCACTCTGTACAGCGTAGTTGTCTGCTGACATTCACAGAAAAATCTACATGTGGCTATGTAGATGATGGTAGTAGTAGCCAAGGAGATTTTTGCTCTTCTGCCATGTATCCCCAGATCTAGTCCTCCTGCGTTAACTTGGAAGAAACGGGCAGCAAAAGGTCCAGCTGGATCGTTATATTGCCTGGGGATTGCTGTGGAAAAAGTACGGGGGTTTGGCAGGGGGCTGAGCTAGTGTCTGGGGAGGTGGGATGTGAAGGGTTGGGTGTTGGTAGCTTTTTGAGGCTTAGGAGGTTCCTAAGAAGCCTGGGAGACTTTTACCCAGCTGGACGGGGATGTGGTTTGTGCTTTGGACGCCAGCTGGGCTGGTTTGCTGACATGAGGCTTGGGAGCAGAGGATGTTCTCAATGCATTTCCCCTCTCAGAAGAAAATGCAACAGCATAAATAACTGACGCTGCTGAAACTGATAACCTAGCAATGGGACACCATAGCAATACCCTGAGGGGAGGCTCAGTCAGGCACAGACCCAGCTCTGCAGCGTGTGCCTTTCCCAACAGCCTCAGAAAAAATCTGACTGTAGAAGCAGAAACTCCTTTAGATACAAAGGAAGCGTTGAGACCTGCACCTGGGTGGCAGTCAGCTTTTTTTTCAGGGTTCAGATGTTCTTGCTAACTGTCTTCTCCAGAGAAAGCATCTTCACTGGAGTTCTTTCTGAAAATACATGACATCCTCTATTTTCCATTGTTTCTAGAACCTCGTTGCCCAAAGCCAGATGCTGCTCATAGAAGAGAGATTTATAAAAGCAAAAATGACTACTCAGTTGGGACCCAACTGACGCTGGCGTGTGATTTGGGCTATGCCCTCAGGGGCCATGACTCGACCGTGTGTCAGGCTGATATGAGCTGGGCTCCCCCGTTACCATTTTGTGATAAAGGTACGTGTAACGCGGTGCTGGGAAGAAATCTCATGCATCAGTTTTCAGAAACAGCAGTAAGTACATGACCTGCCTTCAGCATCTGCTTCTGGGGAATGGGACGATGATCACCAGCTCATGGGCTGAAAGTGTCGAGGTGTCTTCTCCCTGGAGATGTGACCCAGGTGGGAGCTGAGCGAGAAGCGGGAGCCTTGAGCAGGTGTAAGAGGCAAGAAGCCAGGCAGCAACTTCATGGGTCCCTTCCAACTCAGGATATTCTATGATTCTGTGATTCTATGATGTGAATGTGCCATGCTACAAACATGAAGTTAACTCTTGTACTGATTTCCCAGAAGCCATTTTGATTATCACCTGAATATGATAATCATGCACTTTTTTTCTTATCAATTCCCTTTATTTCATAGCCTGTGACCCCCCTCCGCAAATCACCAACGGGCAGCACTCTGGCTTGGGACGGAAGCAGTTCCCCTACGGTGCAGAGGTGACGTACAGCTGTCTGGAGGGTCTGTCCCTCATTGGGGATGAGTCCATCTACTGCACCTCCGACGATGGGGTGAACATGGCGTGGAGCGGACCTGCCCCGGAGTGCAGGCGTGAGTCGTTTCTCCTGTACGGGATCAGACTGAAGCCAGGACCTGGGTTCAATGCTGGAGCTAAGCCCCAGCTCTGTTACCTGCGCTGGTCCAGGAGCTCCAAACCCAGAGCGGCTTAATGACCGTGCAGCTCCTCCAGCTCCTGCGCGAAGGTCTCGGCACCATGAGCTGTTCAGTAACACCAGGGACTGGTAGGGTCTCCCTGGGGGTTGCTGCAGGCAGCTGAGGGTCAATTCTTGCATTTGAGTATAAAACTGAAGAGGAGGGCATCAGGAAGAGCG